TTTTTTTTATTTAACTCTTTTAGTTTTTTTAATTTTCTAATCAACTAATGAATCTATCCTCTAGGCGCAATTGAAATAAAAAGTTAGGGATCGTGTGTGCAAAAATTAAAGGTTTGGGCATACTTTGCAATAAATTAAAATGTTTGAGATCCCACCTGCAATTTTCTATTTATAGATTTAATATTAATTACGTTTCCCTTAACTTACGACTTGATGCTATGTGATATATATGGTAGACTAAGATGGCCGACCAAGCGAAGGCAATAGCCCGACCACCAGTGTAATTGATCGATCGCTACTATGGTTGATCGACTACCATGATGATCGATAATTCACTAGGAAGCTTGATCTACCACCATGACTCGCTACCATTTGAATATCCTTCTTGTAAATTGAAAATCACCCAACGGTTATCACTGATCCTTCTAATCACTTAGTGGGTGGAAGTTGATCCCTACGTATGTGAGTGGAAAACGCCTAGTAAATGGACATTAACTACTGGACAAGTGGATAAAAATCGCTTAGTAATTACAAGGTACTAAGTACCTATAAATACTCCAAAAGCATGCCGGGCATGGGGGACTTTTACCTTTTTACATTAATTTTCTAGCTTTCCCTTCTAGCCCACTTTTAGGTCATTTATCCTTCACTTAAATCCGATAACTAATTTTCATGTCGGAGGTACAACGAGAGAGATAGTCCCAATCTATTCTTGCAGGTATCTCATTTTTCACTGAAGTAGTAGAAATCATCTCGCTCCATCAAGGAAGCCGAAAGGTTGTCTCCTTATTATCTCATTGGCGCCATTTGTGGAAATGTTTTGAATATAAAAGCTATGTTGAAAAGGTGAACTATGAGTGATACGCGGTTGGTCAAAAATACAATAGAGTTGAAGTTTATCACCCAAGGTCAAAACCTGTCGTCGCAGCCTAAATATGTAACACAAAGTCAAATTAGCGTTCTAGAGATACGATTAGTAGCCAAGATGACTCTTTTGCAAAATCAAGCTTAGAGAGTGGCCGACCCATCTCTTAAATCCACTAGAAATTCGACCACAAGATACATGTTGTCAACCGCCCCTTACAAACGGTTGCCCCCTCAGTTACTCTGCCAATGGTAGTAAACCTAAGGTCTCATGAAGTCACACATCCGTAAGTTCCGCATCCTATGGTAGACTTGGAACGAAGATGGAGGAAATGATGGCCCAAAAAATAATTGATGTACTGTCAAAGAGAGATGATAGACATAGGAAAATGGTTCTGGAAGAAGATCTTTTCGCACGAGAGATCATGGCAGTTTCCCTATCAAAAGGCTTCAAACAATCGATAATAAAGGCATATGACGGACTCATGGATCTGCTTATTCACATGCGAGCTTTGTTGATTTTATAAGACTATATGCAGTTCCAAGTGTAAAAATGTGTTGATCATTTCCACTGACGCTAAAAAGAGAGGCTAGAAACTGGATAGCTACTCTGGTGCCCTGGTCTATCAGAATTTTTGATGAGCTCTCTACAAAATTTGCGGCATATTTCTTGAGTAGCAAGAGAAAGACGAAGACAACCACTGGGTTGATGCATGTTATTTAAGAGAAAGATAAGCCTTTACAAGATTATTAGGCCAGGTTCAATCGGACTACATTTGGCATAAAGGACCTCCAAATGTCAATCGTGTTAACGCATTGATGAATGGGACGCGAAATAGGAAAGATTAGCAGCATCCCGGTTGGTAGCATTTGAAATGTTCATGAATACTTTACAACATCTGGAGGCAAGATACATTGTAGGTGGCTAAAGTGGTGGTGTATAAGCTTGCCAAATCTAGAGTTAAACTTAGAAAAATTCTAGTCTCCCTCACAAGGTAACCCAGTAATAATGCAAAACTCCTCCATGAAAATTCTTAAACGCTCACTGCCCTTGACATTTCGTCAGCATTCGGCTGCTTGGCCTTTCTTAGTAAGATTTGATGTATAAGCTGATGGTTTAAGATTATATTATAGGTAAATTACGTCCAATGTTAGGTACTTGGAAAAGATCGAGAGTACATTTAGGAAAATGAAGAAAAACTGCTATGAAGAAACTACTATTACCCAGTTTATGAAAAAAGAAGTCATAAGTTGATTCAATAAATAGATAAATTACAGACACAGTTGACTTGGTCACTATACTTTGAGAGACTCAACGTCATTGTTCTCTTGTAATGTGGTCATGCAACAATGGCATGACCAAAGATAAATAGTGAAAAAATACAATTATAACACCCTTCTCCAATTAAGTGACTCCTTCAATATAAAAGCAAAGCAGCAACAACTGCAACGGCAATAGTTACAAGAAGAAAACTCTTGATGCACCTCGGGCTTGGGCCATCAGATACTCGTCTCAATAGCATCTTGCAGTGCTTCTCTGCATCCTTCAATGACGCTTGATCAGCAGCATTCACCCCACTAGACAACAACACCTTCTCATTCTACAAGTTCATTAATACGAACAACTTAGAAAAATTAATGATTATTTTTATGAAAGCCTCAAACGCGACCATTTTTATGTACTACTATTACTTTCACCGGGAAATTCCTTAAGCTCTCCTTCAAGGTATCTAGAGTTGGATGTTCATAGGAGATTGTCTTCCACTCATCCGATAGTTTTTTGAGAATAACACTTCCTTCGAGATGTTCTAGGTATATGTTGTCCTATTCCAATAATTTTGTGAAGAGATCAACAACAGAGTTCAGGTCGATTTTTGAATAAGAAACAATGTCAAAAAATGAAAAAAAGATTTGCGCACCAATTGTTGGCAGCAGTCGGGGTTCTGAGTTAAACACCAAACAAATAAGTCACTTGCCTCTTGTGATAGATCAGGAATTCCTGCAAAATTATTTCAGCATTATTCACTCTGTCTCTTGTGCTCCACAAGAAAGCACAGAATTTATCTTATACCCTCTCCAGCTGCTTTGATAGTAAACATCATTATCTTCTGCGTTATTTGCTTAACCTCTTCGCTTCCAGGAGTAACCGCAATGGCTACCTCTTTCAAGGTGGGATATACAGCTTGAAACCTCTCGGTTGCCTAAGTAAAACAAATGGCACAAGAAATCAATTTTTTTTAAGTAATGAACGTATCAGAAGAACAGTTACACCATAAGCATTCACCTTTGATCGTGCTGACAGATCTGGGAAAGCCACCCTGATGAGCAGCTCGAGAGCTGAAACAGGGACCAGACGCTCTCCTCTTCTAACTGAACCATTTACAAGAATAGCACGAGCCCTTGGGAAAGATATAATCCTGAAATAAGGATTCAAAAACTTCAGAGAATGTTAATGAGGATAAATAGTTATAGTGGACGGATCGAGAGCACTTACCACTCCACCACCTGTAGAATCAAGTCTGTAGATGAATCCGATATAAAGTTACTATTAAGCTTAGGGAAGAGAAAATGTGCCCACATGAACATTCCATCTACCAAATCCGATTGGCAAACCTGAAAATTTCAATTTCAATTCCAATTCAGGGAGAAATATTGAGGAAATTGAAGAAAGAAAATAACAAAAATATTTATACCTGAATGATTAGCCACACCAAGACTGGAAGCTTATCTTCACCTTCGTATTTAGGATTCTCCTTGAGAATCGGCAACAGACTGATCAAGACATCAGGTTGGCATCTCAATATCATTGCCAAAACCATGAAGATGGCAACCTTAGGCGGAGAAATTAAACAATAGTGAGTCATAAGCTAGTTGAGATTTTTAAAACAAATTCTAAAAAGCCACCTGAGATCTGGAAGTTGCTTGCTGAACCACCTTATTTGATCTCTTCGTAGCCCCCTGATGAAGGAAAAGGTCATCAATAAGGTTATCCAGTGACCACAGAATAAAAGAACCCAGTGCCTCTGAGGATAAATGGTTAAGCCAATCCACCGAGACCTTGTAGACGTCTTCAGGTAGGTTAGAAAGAGGGACCTGTTTATGAACAGCAAAATTATACACATTCAAAATGAAAAAAGTTCCAGACACAACTCTCTCTGAAGGGGTAAACACGGTCAAGAATCAAATGTATATGTTGAAATACTCTATCCACTCAAAACATGGGAAAATGGGTGAAAAACGAAAAGAAAACTCACATCAGCCATTTTGGCAACAGACGATGCCTTGAGTATCTTTATCCATGGAAACTTAGATGTGCTAACTTTCGAAAATGCAGCTCCGAAATAATCTGCCAGTCGCATCAGTTGTATTTCCTGCTTTGTATCATACCGTTCCTTCATCAAAATAACGAGAAAATTAAAGATTTTCAATTTATCTTCAAACTTTCACATAATGAAACACGAAAAAAACTTACTGTTATGTCAAGAAGGAAAGCTACAAGTTCGGAGGAATTGATCTTAGCAGCAGCCTCGACCACATTTAGCTTCGTCTTCTTTACTTTCTCCATGACCAAGTCATTATATACAACAGAAGCAGAATTCTCTTCGATCATTTCTATCTTTCCATTTAAGGCTACATCTTCTCTTTCACAATCCATTATTTTTGCACTTATACTCCAAAAAGGAATGGAATCAAGAAAGTAAAGTGTCTTTCTACAACGACTTTTAGTATTTGGAGAAATTAATGTAGCTGAGCTGCCATCGACGGGAAAAGAGAGAGGTGGTGGTGGAGTGGGAGGAAGAGGCGAGTTTAAATAGGTGATATTGGAGGCGCGTGGTTCCACGTGTATATTAATGGATTTTGTTCTGTGTTTACGGTTCTGCCCTTTGTACGTGATGGCCACCAGTTTAGGTGGGCGTGGGTGTCTTACTCCTTGAGAGTTTTATTTAGCATTAGGAATTAAAATACATATTTTAATTTAAATCAAAGTCAACGATCAATTTTAATTTTATATCTTATGAAATTCATAATTTTTTAACTACACATTTCATCAAATTTTATCAAAATCTACAAAAATTTAATTTTAATCACCATCAAACAGGAACTGAATTTTGGAAGAAATTATCATGGAAATGAAAGCTTATTGTTAAATCTTTATTGAAGAGATTTTGGATATGATTTATTTAGCAAATTTTTTTATAGAAATATTAAAAGTATATGATATATTTGGAATACTCTAGTAAATCCTGCAATGAAATGACTAAAAGAGAAAAGAGAATTTATCTTATGAAAATCAAATTTATATAGAATGTGCCGTATCGACACTCTATTTTTATTTTTTTTTTAATGTGAAAGAAAGCTATTAACACATGATTCAATGGTAAATGTGAACCACATAATAGATAAGAATATAAGTTGTAACCAATTGAAGAAGTAATCTTGAATCCAAATATTCGGAACATAAGAATTCGTCCACTTGCATGACTCATGTAGAGGCGAGCGCTAGTTTCAATAGTGATTGAAAAAATAACACAAAAATAGTAAAACCTATAAAGAAAAAAAAAGGTGGTTTTCAAGATTATTACCATTTAATAATATGGATAGAGTGAGAACGAAGAGAAAAATTTGTAACTCTCGCTTTTTGGTTTTCATTCAATAACCAAATGTTTACAATAGAGAATAAATGCACAAACCAAGAAAGAAACGACGAGTCTCTAGCTGTGCAAGACTTAAGATCATCTAGCACGAGAAAGATACAAATGAAATCTTATACCGGAATGATTTTAAAATGGGGGAGCTTGGACGCTTATTTATAGTTGGAAAGCATGTTTGAGATTACCAAAAAGCCCCAAGAGCTAGCATATAAAAAAAATGACGTAACATGCGTATCATAATTATGTAAAATAATTCAAAATAAGAGAAAATAAAACACTAACCCAAAGACAATAAATTAGAAGATTTGCCACTTATATTTTAAATAATACGTTGGAATTTTGAAATGTGCATTTTACATAAAAAAAAATTAAATAGAACAAATTTATTTTACATTTCTTTTACAAACTTGCCAACATTTTACATTAACAATTTTACAATTCTTTTACAAATTTCGAAAAATATTCTCAACAAAAACAATTGAAATATTTGGAAGGATAGTCAATCAATTTTTGAACCATCAGAAATACCAATGGCACTTAGTAATTATCAGAAGTAATGGAGGGTGAAAATGGTATAAAATCCAGATGGATTCTCTGTGTGGGATTTAGCTAATCTGCAATTATTATGCGAAGGATTCAGATAATCTTTCATTAAATTTGCTAATCCTATTCAAATCTGTACACAGCACTGCCAAATAAAAGTCACCCAGTCTTGGATTACAAATGGAGACAATACAGTGTTTACTTAGGTAAATTTAGCAAGTGGTCCAATTAGAAAGAAGTGGATATTAATTGGTAAGTGAATATTAAATTGACATTAATGGTAAATTAATTGTTTTAGGTATGTTAATTATGATAATTAGAAAGAAGTCAAATCATTTTGTTTTTCCAATTCACACAATTTGAAATCAGATTTACTTAGTCCCCGTTTGGCAAAAATTATAAATTATTTGTGTACGATCAAATTTCATTTTTAACTACATTTTAATGGATTCACAAGTACTTTGCACTTATTCACCAGTCATTTCAATCTATTTATAAATTAAATCATTTATAAATTATTTCCCATAGTAGACTTAGTGCTTGTTTGGTAAGAATTTTGTTAATTGATTTTTTGACCGTTAGAGATAAAGTAGATTTTACCTGTGAAAGAAGAATTCAAAAATAACGGCTGAAATAATGAAATAACAGTTAAAAAATTGATTTTAATTGAATTTGAAGTATATATCTAGTGTCAATGGCTTTTCATTTTACGGTATTCAAATTTCTCTTAGGACACGTTTGGCACATTTGTGGAGATGATAGCACAATTGATAAAATTAATTTTTTCAGATTGTTCAGTACTATAAATTACTTACCAATAAGCCAATGATATTTTGGTTGATCTGAACGTAAATATTTACAGATATACAGTGACAAAGATTGTTGGATAGTGAACATATACGAACATTTTATTCATAATAGAGAGTATTTTGACTCATTGTATTATTTTTTCCAATTTATATTTAATAATTTCTTTTCATATTTTATCTAACATAATATTTTTATATGTTAACATCCAATCAATTCAAATGTAATTTGAATAATTTAAATTGTAGAGTATTAGAATTTATAATGTATTAAATGCAATCATTGAAGATTAAGAATAGAGAGTAAGCTTGAATCTCTAAATTTGGAGAGCCAAATTCACTTTCTATTTTAAATTTTTTAAATAAAGAGTTTCTTGTAACTCATTTTTAAACAATGACTCTCTAAAATAAAATGTATTTTATATTTAGATAGTCTTTCGAAAGTGCTCTAACAATTGTACTTGAAAAGTTCAATAAAGCAAAAATTTCAAGTGGAAAATAATGTAGAGAAAAATTCATGACTAAGAAGTTAAGTATCACCCATTTCAAAACTAATAACAAATGTTTCAAATTTCAAAAAATAGATATTTGTAAAAATTTATTTATGATTTAATTAATTAATTAATTACATATTTTAAAAACTAAATATATTTAGATCACAGATATATACAATTTGTTCACAAATTAACGATTTAGTTAGTCACATATTATTTTTTAATCATAATTCAAAAATTTTATAGATTACAATTTGTTTATCGGTCACAAATAAAAAATTTATAAATCACAATTTATTTATCGATCCCAAATCACAAATATTATAAGTAACAATTTATTATATAGTCACAAATTATTAAATTATCAATTATAAATTAATAATTTTTTAGATCACACAACATTTCTTAGTCATAATTTATCTCTATCATTCATCACATATTGTTTATTGGTAATATATTTAAACAATTTAGCGGTCACAGTTAACCAAATAATTTGTGACCAGCAATTGCGACCACCATCTCACCACTACCTCTAGCAGCACCACCACCACTACCTCCTAACAACAACACCACCACAAACATCCTCACCCCAACCCACCCCACCCCACCCCACCCACTACCACAACCATTGCTAGACCACTGTCGCCGCCAGATGAATCACCATTGCCACCACAACCAAACAGCGCCACTATCGCTAGAACCACCACCACTGGCAGTGCTACCAACACCCAAATGATTGCACAACTACACCATAGCAAAATACCACCATGCCACCAAAAATCATATCCAAAAATACCAGATCCAAAATTACCATCACCATCGTCGCCACTGCAGCCACCACCACCACCACAAGCAGCATCAACACCACCACCACACCCCAAGTGGATTCAACAAAACCATCGCCAAGTAGATCTAACTAGAGCCGAAGATGATGTTGCAACTGTAGAAAACCATAGAGGCATGAAACCACCCCAAACTGTTGCATCGTGATGTTGATGATCTCGTATCTTCAAACGCAGGGATGATGCCTCCACCTTTGCTTACTTCGTCTGTGTTTTCTGTTTGTTTCATTACAGTGAATGGGGTACTAAAAAGGGATCAATAAATGGGATGGATCCTGTTTGCTGCTATCGCGTTGCTAGTATAGTGTTGAGGTTGCTCCGCCAACGTAGTCTTCGATGGTGGTTAAGTGATGATCGTGTGACGACGGCAACGAAGCTACTGTAATGGTGTCGAGTGAGATCTCTGCTCAACGTGCTAGCGGTAGTGGTGGTGGCAGTGTGGTGGTGGCAATGGCTAGAGAGATGAGAAAAGTTTGGATACAGAGAGAGGAGAGAATGGAGATGATGAAAGTGATTAGGGTTTTGGTAAGTGTGGTGGGGTATGATGAATGTGTTTATTTAATTTTGCAATATAATTATTAATATTTAAAATATATTAATTAGTTAACAACATGTCTGATTTTTGAAATAGTAAATCTAATATATGATTTATAAAATAGGATCTCTAAATATATTGTTTCCTGTAATTTCCACTTTAAATTAGCCTAGGAGGCATTATTTAGGAGATCCATAAAATGGTTTTTGAGGGCCTATGGTATTGGATGAAGAAGGTGGGTCTTAGATTCAATAAAACATGCTATATTGAAGCGCAAGGAATAACATCCACTGAGTTTCTATGTAGAGTGAACATACCAAAAAATTGCACCCACATAACATAGTTGGATTCAAGAATACGCCAGTAGTGCTAAAGCGTTGATAACAAGAAGAAAAGTGTTGGGAAAATTTACGCCGATTACGTGCATATTCTATGGTTATTTGCGTGAAATCGAAACGTAATTTGGACTTACCAAAATAGGATTTGAGAAACAAAACATAAAAGTTACAGAATGTGGATGCATGGATATGGATTCATCCCTTTCGATTCTTGAACGAAAGCAAATTATTCTTTTAATCGAACCTTACAATATAAACATGCAAACAATGTTAATCATTTCCCAAAATTAAAATATAATCAAAAGAAATCAGAAAACTGTAGGAAGAAAGATGCAAGTGATGAATTTTTGGTCGAGGCAAGTGTTTGACACTTGGTCCTTAAGATGAATTTGCCCCGCATCGGTGCTAAAGGTTTTTTGACAATCATCTCCCAAAATACAACGACCACGTCAAGTCATAGGAGCACTCCAAATGACTTCGACCAGCGAACTTGAACGGAATTCCCTCTCTACAAAGGAAATGCATGAAAATGCTATGGAATTATAAAGGAGAGAATTGC